CATAATTGTCCCCTTCTCCAGAAAATTGCCCTTGGAAATGTTATCTTGGCCCTCAGTCAATGACTAACTGATTTGGTTCATAGACTCTTACTGTGAGTCAACTCTGATGTGTAATTCACACTCCAGAGCTCCCCATGGGATCAGGCAGAAGTTTAGATAACTCACTACTCTACCTAACCTCTTCCCTGCCCCTACCCAACTTCCTTCACTACCTCACGGGTTTCTTCCAAGAACACTCCTGCAATAAGTCAAATACACAAGGATCTGGGTCTGCTTCTAGGATCCTAACCCTAAGCTTTTACTGAAATGAAATTTCAGCTTCTGAGAGTAGGATGACTCCTGATATCTTTTCGACATGCTTGCAGAGGGTTCAAGAGCAAGGAGAATGACACCAGCATTCCCCTCACCCTATACATTTCCAGACGCGTTCTACTTGTGATTCACGCTTACTTATTCAACATGATAAGTAGAGGAGGAGTCTCAATTTTATTCAAATTAAGTATTTATTAGTGCAGTACCTTTTTTTTTTTTTTTTTTTTGACATGGAGTCTTGCTTTGTCACCCACTGGAATGCAATGGTGCAATCTTGGCTCACTGCAACCTCCACCTCCCAGGTCCAAGTGATTCTCGTGCCTCAGCCTCCCAAGTAGCTGGGATTACAGGCATGAGCCACCACACCTGGCTAAGTTTTGTATTTTTAGTAGAGACAGGGTTTCACCATGTTGGCCAGGCTGGTCTCGAACTCCTGACCTCAGGTCATCTGCCCACCTCAGTCTCCCAAAGTGCTGGGATTACAGGCATGAGCCACTGCACCTGGTCACGTGCAGTACCTATTTTGTGTCAGCAATGTGTTAAGAAAGTTTTAGGAATGTAGCAGTGAATAAAACATAATTTTCTGCCCTCAAAAGAAGGAGAGAAAGAAGAAATTCCAACTTTTGAGGATACTCTTTAGGTAGAACTTAAAGCAAACAAACGTCTTATCCAGTCTCTGCTTTATTTATTTATTTTTTGAGAAAGGGTCTCACTCTATCACCCAGACTGGAGTGTAGTGGTGTGATCACAGCTCACTGAAGTTTCAACCTTCTGGGCTCAAGCAATCCTCCAGAGTAGCTGGGACTACAGGCGCAAGCCACCACACGGAGTCATTTTCTTTTTGATTTTAATTTTTTTTTTTTTTATAGAGATAGGGGTGTCTCTATGTTGCCCAGGCTAGTCTTGAACTCCTGGCTCAAGTGATCCTTTTGCCTCAGCCTCCCAATGTGCTGGGATTACAGGCGTGAGCCACCACACCCAGCCGCAGCCTCCACTTTTGGTTTGATCACACTGAAGCACTAGCCCTTTCACCAAATTAAGCTCATATGTGGGAGCAACATTCCATTCATCCTTCCAGATGATATGCACATCATGTCCATAAATCAAGTGAATTCAAGCCCCTTCACAAGAGTACCCTTCCAGTGTCATAGATGAGAACACTGACAGATTGTTGTTTTTTAAACTCCCTCTCATCTGATTGGGAGAGGGGAATAAATGTGTTATTTCCTGCTGTTCTTCCTTGGAACAATGCAATTTTCTGCAGTTTCTTTTCTGCAGCTTGCCTCCTTCTGTGGAAAAGTTTCCCCTCACTTGTTTTTGGAATGTTTCCTCTCTGGACACAGCCTGGCAGTGACTCGGGGAGAACTCCTGCAGTAACACTGCAGTTTTGGTTGCTGGGCGGTTGCGTTGGCCACAGGTCCTCTGTGGGCTCACACATGGGTGCATGTTCACTCCCTAGCCAGTGCTGGAAGAGCTTTAAAGCAGGAAGCAAAAGATGACTTTTTGAAAATGTCTCCTTAAGTTAGTGAATGTGTGCCCAGGGTCCATTTTTCTAAGAACTTCATCTCAGAAATAAGAATATATTATTATAAACTTCTTTGAAAAAATTAGTTAGGTTTTCTTTCAACTCTCTCTTGGCCCCAGGTTTTCTCACTTGTAATATGATGGAGTTGAAATGGATGAGTTCTAATGTCCTGTTCATCCATCACATATTTTGATTGATGTTTGTCCTTCTTCCTGGACATGCTACATTTAAACTCTATTTAAAATAATTTATGGACTGGGTGCAATGCTCATGCCTTTAATCCCAGCATTTTGGAGAGTTAAGGCGTGCAGACTACTTGAGCCTAGGAGTCCGAGACCAGCCTGAGCAATGTGACAAAACCCCATCTGTACAAAACATACAAAAATTAGTATGTTTTGGCTGTGTCCCCACCCAAATCTCATCTTAAATTGTAGCTCCAATAATTCCCACATGGCATGAGAGGGACGCAGTGGGAGGTAATTGAATCATAGGGGTGGCATAGTAGCACATGGCTATAGTCCCAGCCACGTGGGAGGCTGAGGTGGGTGAATCACTTGCACCCAGGAGGTCAAGGCAGAGGTGAGTCATGATTGTGCCACTGCACTCCAGCCTGGGTGGCAGAGTAAGACTGTCTTAAAAAAAAATAAAATAGTTTATTTCAACTGATATCAGCATTAATTTTTATTGTTTAGTTAGCAGGTCTAAGGACCTGTGTATGTGTGTGTAATGTAATCTGTATCAGGGTTTATCAAGACTAATATTTTTGACTGAAGTGCAAGAATATAAGTAGTAGTAAAAATAAAAATACTAACTTATGTATCAGGATTGGACAGCAATTATAATAAACAACCCTAAAATCTCAGTGGTTTAATGCAATACAATGAAATAGAATGAAAGTTGATTACTTGTTCACAATCCAGAGCTGTCAGCAAGGGTGGGTGGAGGAGTGGTGGATAGGGAGTCTCTGCTCCACACAGTCATTTAGGAACTCAGGGTCTTTTCATCTTGGAACACTTATCTTCAACATTTGGGCTTTAAGTTTGCTCCAGAGTGAGAAAATAAAGCGTAGAATCACCCACTGGAAATTTTTTTGAGCTAAAACTCATACTAGCCCCCTGAAACTAGCCCCTTTTCATTGGCCAGAACTCAGCCATGTGGCTCCGGTGTAATTGCAGAGAGAGTGCAAAACAGCTAAGCAATGTGCCTAGGCAGGAAAGGAAAATCACAAATATTGGTGAGCCCATGCATCCTCTGCCTTATCTGGTTTCTGACTCGCTAGCATTCTGAGGTTAAGAGTGTGGCGAAGGGCCTTGCTGACCAGTGTTTCTCCTCCACACTCGTCCTACCCCTATGTATTATTCTTCTCATGCTGCTAATAAAGACATACCCGAGACTGGGTAATTTATAAAGGAAAGAGGTTTAATTGACTTAAAGTTTCACATGGCTGGGGAGACCTCACAATCATGGCAGAAGGCAAAGGAGGAGGAAAGTGATGTCTTAAATGACAGCAGGCAAGAGAGCATGTGCAGGGGAACCCCATTTATAAAACCATCAGATCTCGTGAGACTTGTTCACTATCATGAGAACATCACGGGAAAGACTCACCCCTATGATTCAATTACCTCCCACCATGTCCCTCTCATGACGTGTGGGAATTATTGGAGCTACTATTTAAGATGAGATTTGGGTGGGGCACAGCCGAACCATATCACCCTGCCTTGGCACCACCTCTCACACTCTCCTAACTCGCACACCATTTCCTCTCCCTCAGCCTTATCATTGCTGTCTTTTATTTGACACCTTGAGGTAGGGAGACATAATGTGAGTCTGGACAGACCTAAAAGATGCATTTTCTGCTGGGCGCGGTGGCTCATGCCTGTAATCCCAGCACTTTGGGAGGCTGAGGCAGGCGGATCACCTGAGGTCGGGAGATTGAGACAAGTCTGACCAACATGGAGAAATCCCATCTCTACGAAAAATACAAAATTAGCCGGGCGTGGTGGCGCATGCCTGTCATCCCAGCTACTTCGGAGGCTGAGGCAGGATAATCGCTTGAACCTGGGAAGGGGAGGTTGCGGTGAGCTGAGATTGCGCCATTGCACTCCAGCCTGGGCAACAAGAACAAAACTCTGTCTCAAAAAAAAAAAAAAAAAAAAAAAGGATGGATTTTCATGGTAAAATAAGTGGAAAAGACGGCTCACTGGAAAAGTGGCAAGAATGTCAGAAAGGGAGTTGGGGGAGTCTGCAAAGATGCCAGGAGAGGTTTGAGTTAGTTTGAGATGGAAAATAATTATTCCAATGGGACATCAATTCCGTGGTGAAAATTCAGCTTCTCCCTGTAGTAACAGGTAGTGTTTGGAAAAATATTTTATGAAATTTTATGAATATGATAAAATTTAGATTGAAGATTCTCTCTTTAATTAACTGCTTTGGAAAGGCCAGCATTCACAATTAAGAGCTATAAACATTTAGGAATAAGTCATCCCAGCTCTTATAGTTTTTTTAACACTTAACATAAAAAACCCACATATACATATATATTCTGTAATTTAGGAAGATGTTTTTATAAAGAACATCACTTGCTTTCTGCCTTAAATCCTTCCACCAGGGAATGAGGCGCAAACACGTGCTCATTTGTAAGCCCACAGTAAATCTGCCCAGTAGTCAAAGCTCAGTCATCGCTGCAGGAAATCCTCCCAAATCTCCTCCAGCTTACTCCTGAAGTTGCAGACTTTCAGATATTGCAGTACCCCTAATGAAAGACAGATCCCTCTGATAGAGATTCCCTACCCAAGACTCTCTTAGGTCATGAAAGACACTAATTCATCTTTTCATCTGCTCATTAATGACCAAGAATGGATCCTCTTCCCATTTGCTATGCTTAGTTTAGTAAAAGCACTTTTTGGAAGCAAGTTCCTGTTTAAGTTTGTAAGTGGCATTTCTTACACCTAAAATTCTTGCACTGAACAATTTAATGGAGCCAACAGACACAAACACCTTGCCAAAAACAATTTCCATGAAGAGTTTAAAGGCAGTGAATCCTTGGTAGTCCAGAGCAAGCAGCAGGACTTGACCCCCAAACGTGAAAAGGAGTTAGATGAGCCCATTCTGAAAGCCATGTAAAGCATCTGCTTAGCTGACACACTGTGTTTCTTTTCACCAGGGTCTTCCAGGAAAGGATGGATCCTCGGGACCTCCAGGACCACCAGGGCCAATAGTAAGCCTTTCCAGAAACTGCTGGAACACACTCTGTTTTAAAGCATTTCATTTCCTTTGAGAGGTTTTCTTTTGCCAGATCTTTTACTCGGCAGCCACCTTCACTATAGTGTAACAACTCATCCCTTGGTAGAGAACTCGTCTTAAAACTTTTTAGAAAGATAATGTATCCCTATTGCCCGACTATTCTATCTCAGAGTCATTTTGCCAGAAGATCACCTGCATTGATTTAGCTTTTATTAAATCACAAGTAAGGCTTGAATTTGAAAGAACCACACCTGACATATAGTGAGGAGACTAAAAAAAAAGTCTTCCCTCCATTTTTGGGAATTGGGAACAGGAATGAGGTCCCGGTGATGAGGGGGAGGGAAGCTATCATGGTGTGTATTTGTTACGCTTGCCTAAAAGTTGGCTGTCATTGATGAGAATGTCTGATTCCTGACTTTGTTCCATTTTCCTACCTCTCTTCTAGGGCATCCCTGGGGCCCCTGGAGTCCCAGGAATCACAGGAAGCATGGGACCGCAAGGCGCCCTGGGACCACCCGTGAGTATGCAGCCGTAGTCGCTCAGAATGAATGCCCAGTCATCACGTTTATTTATGTGTTTAAATTTACCAGCCTCTCTGCTAGTCAGAAATGTTTATTCAGCACTGTTCTCTATGGAAATTCATAAAGGAAATCGGAAAAGCTTCTAGGATAGAGATGAAGATCAGATTGTGCATATGTCATGGCTAAAGATAAATGGTCCTAACAGGGAATAATCTGTCATGTTTTTGCTTATGTTTCTGTTGCTTGCTATTCTGCATTTGGCTAAGTAAACTCAATATCATCTCTCCAGAGGTTGGGCACAACAGCTATGTGTTAATCAAGCTGGGTTCCCAAAGGGAAAAATACAAAGCTTGGGAAATTCAAGGTTTAATGAACGTAAGATTAGATTTTTCTCTTCTAAATTCTACAAGACAGAATTTCCCATTAAAACACACACTCACACATAAGTGAGAGGTGTTATAAGTGAAAACATAAGGAATAGAACTCTTTAACTCTGATTTTTGTTCTTCTAGTCTCTTAGGTTGGTGTTTAAATGTGATCAATGGGAGGGGAAGGGATAAGGTGGAAGAAAAACAAATGAACACATCTGGGCCTGTTTCTTCATCTGTAAAATGAGGTCATTGTATTACACGGCCTCTGGAGACATGCTTGGCATCTTCTGGTGACATGCAAGTTGTTCCTTCTAGGTTTAGATATTAGTCAGCATTCTGATATTTATCTGTGAATTGCTAAGTCTGCATCCATAAACGAAAACATTGAAAAATGCAAAGATGTGTACGACTGCAAATGCACTAAGAATGTGTGTAGCAGTGAAATCCGGTGGATGAGGATGGAAGCGTCTAGTGAATTAGATTCCTGTTACCACTTCACAAATTGCCACAATCTCAGTGGCTTAAAACAACACAAATTTGTTATCTTACAGTTCCGCAGGTCAGCAGTCTGGCGCAGATCTCACTGAGTTAAAGGGAAGGTGTCGGTCTTTCCTTTCTGGAGGCTAGAGGAGAGAATCTCTTTCCTGGCCTTTTCTAGCTGCTAAAGGCCTCCCATAGTCCTTGGCTCATGGTCCACCTGCATCTTCAAAGGCAGCAATGTTGCATCTCTCTGGCCTTTTTCTGCCATGGTCACTTCTCTCTAACCACAGCCAGGAAAGGCTCTCTTCAGGACCTATGTGATTACATTCAGGCTAATCATAGATAATCTTCCTAGATAATGCCCAAATCCTTAACTAAGTCACATTTGCAAATTCCCTTTTGCCACATTAGGTAACATATTCACAGGTTCTGGGGATTAGGGCAAAGAAGTTTGAGGGGCCTTTTTTTCTGCCTACCATAGTAAACAAGATGTAACAGAAATGTTGGTTCTCATTCAGAAAGTGGCCTGTCTTCCTCTAGCAACCCAGATAGTCTTGCTCCTCTTATTCTTGAAACTCATTTTAATAAAATTGTTTCATCCTCAGAATCCTTTTCTGGACCATGACTCACATGAGACTTATGTAGGTACACAAACCCATACAGGGTATGCACATAAATAATGCATCTTGGTTTTAGCAAATACATCCTAATTTGCACATCCAAATAAATGCTATCCTTAGTAATCACTTTATACAGCTGCATCTTTATTCTGATTACAATGTCATTCAAAATACCTTTAGATCTCTTCTTTTTATGTCAACCTAGTACTGGGTCACAGAAGAAAATCTGATTGCTTTATCTTCACACATCTTTTTTTAATTCAAAAACATGTTGCCAAGTATGATCCTGCACCTAGAAGCATACACTGAAACCCACATGGGTGAGCACATGAAAAAATGCATGCATACACACACACACACACACACACACACACGTATCCACACACACACCTGTCTTCATTCTTTCACTGCAAGCTTATCTATTCATTTAATTCAAAGCTGTATCATACCAGAAAAGAAACTTAAAAACATACTCTCTGGTATTTGGCTTCAGTCCACTTTCCAGAATGTGCTCCTGGGAACCAGAGTTTTAGAATATATCCACAGTGCCAGACAGCAAGGGGTCCTGGTCAAAGAAGTGGCCCTGACCTGACCCTAACTAGCTGTATAAGCCTAACTAGCTGTATAAGCCACATGCACAGAAACTGCTTGCCTAATCTGTTTCTCGGAAATTCATGGGACGTCTTAGGACATCAAAAGCTTTGAGGCGTCCCGAAGTGAAATTAGAAAACACCCAAAACTAGTTTAATTTGGTTAGACAATAAATGTATTTGTGCATGAGGTTCTTATTCTTACTAGCATCTCCTAGAACTAGTTTCTCCTAAGCCAGGCTAGGAAAAAGCGAGGTATAGACCGATCCTGACCCAAGAGGGAGGGAATAGGAAAGAGGGAAGGAAAGAAATGCAGGCTCTGAGAGCTATGGGAGAGTTGACATGGAGCGTGGAGAGCTAGAGTGAGACCTGGAGTGTTTGAGTAACTATGAGAGCACCCTGCTCACCCACCTGGCCTTTGGTGGCTCTGGATTAGACTCCAAATGTAGTATCTACAGAAATGCCAATAAAATTTTCCCATAAATAAAACGCTTGTTCATAATGTGGTTTTCACTATAAATCAGCAGAAAGGGGCCCTTGATAGCAGCAGGAGGGGCCTTTGTGCCATTGGCACTTCGACCAGAGGCAGAAACCATTTGGCCTATAAGCATCGGGTAAGGATAGCACAGTTGGCTTGGGGATTTCCTCTCAAAAGCAAGTTGCTTTCTGAACTGTCCAGCCCAGACCTTTCTGGACCTGCTGGCTCCCAGATGCTTGCTGCCTGCCAGACTGGCATGGCTGTGACAGCAGGCTCTGTGTCATGGTGTTAAGGCCTTGATTGATTTCCCATGGATGTCTGTCTAGGAAGGCATGAGGGAAAGGGACCAAGAGGGACAGGCTGCACCGCTGAAAATAGCAACATGTTTCCTACAGTGGGTGCCAGAAACGCTTGCTTTTGTGCGCTCTGCTTCCAGCTGCCGGCTCCCTAGGGCGGAATGTACATGGCTGCTGCTGAGGTCCTAATTTCTATCTAAGTTTTGAGCATTGGCTTAGGTACAGTTCTTCCTCTGCAGCTGTTAGAGAGTGATAAAGCACACGAAGGAAGGAGCTGCTTACTGCTGGGGCCATGTGTTCAGCCAGGTAGACAGGTCCAGGGTTACATCACTGACGGAGCTTTGCATTAGAAGTCAGGATACCTGGGTTCCTGATGTAGCCCTGACTTGACTCAAAGTAGCTGAAAGCCACATCACTTGCACAAATCATCTACCCTTTCAGAATGTCAGTTTCCTAATTCATTCATTTAAAATATTTAGGGAGTGAGCACAATCCATATAAGATTAAATGGTAGGGAGCGGTCATGAGGGATACAAAAGATCTGAAGACATTTTTCCATACTGTTGAGAAATCCAGAGAGAATGATGTTTTTATATACGAAGCTGTAATAAAGGGCAGAAAGTGTGAAATGCCTTAAGGGAAAGACAAGGAAGTTGCTCTGAAAGCTCCATGAAGAGAGAGACCCCTAAGCTGAGGGGTAGGAGTAGCGGCTTCAGAAGGAGGGACCATTTTGCTGAGATCTTAGAATATGGGTAGGATTCCCACCCACAGAGACAGAAAGATTGCATCACTTAGGTGACAGTTGCAGAAAAACGTAAGGCAAACACAGAGCACCCCGTCTCTGTACATTTTACTATTTTTCAATTCTTTCTCTAGTTCCATCACGACTACCGCAGTTTTGTTTCAGGCCCTGCTCGCTGCTCCCAAAGACTATCCTGAGAGGCTCTCATTGGCCCCCCGGCCTCTGCTTTAGCCCTGTTCTAGTCCATTCCCCAGCTGCCAGAACATCTTTTAGTGCAACTCCCACATGTCACTGTCTGGCTTGAATCTCCTCCTTATCCCTGGAGGAAGGAGCCCAGTTGTTCAGCACAGAGCTCATGGCCCTTTAGGACGGGCCCCTACTTTCCTTTCCAACTTGGATTACCATCCTCCCTTCACTTGGATTCACTCATACATTATTTAAAGTTCCCGAAATATATGCCATACCATTTCACACATTTGTCTTTGGGGATGCTAACAACTTACAGGATGCTCTTTGGGATGCTCATTTGCCTTACTGGGCTTCATTCTTTTTCACCACTTGGTGAGCTCCCAGCAAATCCTTCTTTAAGGCTTCTCATCTCCCGTGTAAAGCCACCCCTCCCTTTGCAGGCTGTTAGGTACTGCATTTCAACTATTGATGTTTGTCTCTCCACTAAAAGGATAATTTCTTAAGAACAGAAATTTTATCATACTCCTGTGTAGAGTCCTAGACCCCAGCTCAGTGTCTAACACATAGAGAGTACTTAATATGTATTTATTAAAAGAAAAAAAGAAGGCTGGGTGGGGTGGCTTATGCCTGTAATCCCAGCACTTTGGGAGGCCAAGGCAGGCGAATCATTTGAGGTCAGGAGTTTGAGACCACCCTGGCCAACATGGTGAAATCTCGTTTCTACTAAAAAAGAAATACAAAAATTAACTGGGTGTAGTGGTGGGTGCTTGTAATCCCAGCTACCCAAGAAGCTGAGACATGAGAATCGCTTAAACCCGGGAGGCGGAGGTTGCAGTAAGCCCGAGATCATACCACCGCACTCCAGCCTGGGAGACAAAGCAAGACTCTGTCTCAAAAAAAAAAAAAAAAGAAGGTACGTTTATATTCTAGTTAGGCTGTTGTTCAAAGGCATGTTAGAGGCATATTAGAAGAATATTCTTATAGATTAGGGGTCAGGTCATGGAAGACATTTCAAGCCAGCCTAAGATGTTTTGATTTAGTTTAACAGACATCTTTAATATGTGGTACTTGAACCACAAGATCATTCCTCTTCCTTCCAGCACTAAAATTCGGTGAATCTATGAATGTAGCCACTGTATTTTCCTTTCTTTACATTTCGAGTGCTCCTAAAATTAAAGGAAAGTGTGCCACTTTTTCCTGCCTACATCTGCAGGGAATATGTGTTTTCCC